GAGAAGAATGTTATGTACCGAATTTGGTTGAAATCTGTTAAGAAGATCCCAAGATATGGGTTTTCACCTAAAAGTTGGCGGGGCCATGCCCTCTGTCTAATTTTGATCGCGGTTCCTATAAAGTCATCTTATACCATCCCAGAGATAAAATATAATGTCTATGGCGTGTTTAGTGCTTGATTTATCGCGCTTTTAGTAGTTTTTAACAGTACCGTTATATGGAGAGTGGGCGAGTTTGTCACCCGATTTTCACACTGTCGATAGAAGTACTAAAATCATTTGTTCTCAGTGAATTTTGTTATTATAGCTTTAACGGCTTAGGAGATATGCACATTAAAAACTTTTAAACTGCAGATGCCCCTTCCTAGTGTGATCCTGTATACCAAATAACAGTCTTGTATCATATTGTGGCGCTTAGTTATGGCAATTTATTTTTTTATACTCTCGCAACCTGTTGCTACAGAGTATAATAGTTTTGTTCACCTAACGGTTGTTTGTATCACCTAAAACTAATCGAGTTAGATATAGGGTTATATATATATAGATGATCAGGATGAAGAGACGAGTTGAAATCCGGGTGACTGTCTGTCCGTCCGTCCGTCTGTCCGTCCGTCTGTCCGTCTGTCCGTCCGTCCGTGCAAGCTCTAACTTGAGTAAAAATTGAGATATCTTTATGAAACTTGGTAGACATGTTTCATGGTACCGTGAGACGGTTGGTATTGCAGATGGGCGTAATCGGACCACTGCCACGCCCACAAAACGCCATTAATCAAAAACAAATAACTTGCCATAACTAAGCTCCGCAATAAGATACAAGACTGTTATTTGGTACACAGGATCACATTAGGGAGGGGCATCTGCAGTTAAATTTTTTTTTAAAAAAGTGGGCGTGGTCCCGCCTCTAATAGGTTTAATATGCATATCTCCTAAACCGCTAATGCCATAATAACAAAATTCACTGTAAGCAAATATTTTTAGCACTTCTATTGACGGTGTGAAAATAGTTGAAATCGGGTGGCAACTCCGCCCACTCCCCATATAACGGTACTGTTAAAAACTACTAAAAGCGCGATAAATCAAGCACTAAACACGCCAGAGTCATTAAATTTTATCTCTGGGATGGTATGAGATGACTTTATAGGAACCGCGTTCAAAATTAGACAGTGGGCGTGGCACAGCCCACTTTTAGGTGAAAACCCATATCTTGAGATCTGCTTAACCGATTTCAACCAAATTCGGTGCATAACGTTCTTTTCATGTTTCTATGTCACAGTGCAAAAATGGGCGAAATCGGACTACAACCACGCCTACTTTCCATATAACACCATTTTAAATTCCATCTGATTATTTCACTCTCCACTATGCAAATCAGGCAACAATGACTGTATCGGGATAAAACTTTGCGTGAATAATGCGATTAAAGTATGCCACCTTGTGGCCAAAAATTGTCTAAATCGAACCAAAACTGTTTAAGCCCCTAAGTACTAAATATGTGGACCCCAGTGCCTATAGTTGACCTTCTACCGAAAATATCAGCCAATCCACAAAAAAATCTCAAACGAGTATACTATTTGACTTTGCGAGAGTATAAAATGTTCGGTTACATCCGAACTTAGCCCTTCCTTACTTGTTCTCTTTAATTTCTACTCTGCAGTTTTCTGAATGAATAAAAAGTAAATTTTTTTTTGTGCTTTTTTTATAAAAAGTGACAAGATAATAATAAATTCCGCAATAAAAAGCATGCGCTGCCCACAAAAGTATGCCAAGCGGTTATTTATTCATGTGGTAAATTGTCAAAAAGCAAAATTCACCAACACATGACAGCGCTGCTAAATTGTAAACTATGTTATATACAGTTAGACGCATGTGGGCGAGATGCATTGGAGAAAGTGAATAGTATGAAACACTGACTTATATATTTAAACATGTGCGTATGCATTGATAGGAAACTAGGCCAAGAGCACAAGCGTTTGCGATTATTAAGCAACACTACAACAGTGAAGCCGAAACACAACCATACTTTACGACAAAACATAGGCAATAGTTTGGCAAATATCTTTTACGGTTTAATGCGTTTTAAAAATTTATACTGCAACGCTTAGCTTTTCCAGTAGCTAGTCATTTCATGTAAGAAAAAACAGATTGTCAATTTGGCGAAGTTACCTTCTCGTTCAGACTCCAGACAACTTCTGGATTCCACTCGAGCATGCGAAGTCTTTCTAGATATCGCATCAAATTGTATGCTTCGTTGCAGTCTCATGATAAAGCAAAGTGAAAGCCCTCGTACAACACACACACCATCGCATTATATCACATATTTGACAGCAGTTGTGTTGCCGTCAACTGAGCACTTGAGCACCTCATCGTGGCATGCAATTTGCAGTCAAGATTTAAAATTAAAAAAAACTGCGATTTCTGTTGTTTTGTCGTAAAAATAAAAACGTCATTATTTTATTTATAAAAAAGGGAATCTTTTCTACGCAATTCGTGCCCAAATATATTTGATAAGTATAAAAATGGTAAATGAGGACAGTGTTTTTATTTTTATACAATACTTTTGTTTAAGATTTATAATTTATTCACGTCTTGAATTCTGGTTTAATGTCTAAGGATCAATTTAAAAAATACTTTAATATTACGGCTGATGAACAAGGAACTTTTTCGAAATAGTTTTTTTAAATAATAACTACTACAAACGAAAATAAATAAATCTCACCAAGTACATTACATTACGAATTTACCATATAATATTAATAAGCATACTTTCCTTTGAAAATATATTTTTATTGTACTTCGGTTTTTAATAACTAAACTACTCACGTAAATTGCTTCATTCACTCACTTGCTTAAGAAGTAAAAAATTTTGGTGTTCCGTTAAAAAAGGAAAATTAAAAATGTTAAAATTGTAACTATTTTTCGTCCCAGACTTTTAAAGAAAAATTTGTTCCTTAATTTCACATATAATGGATTTCTATATAGACACCAAGAAAGAAAAAAATTGAATTATTTTGATCGAAAATAATAATTCGTTAAATTTCTTACGGTTGAACGTTGGCTGCAACTCCCGTAAAGTTTATATATGTGAATACATATGTATGTTTGTGCGTGCACTACACATTTTGGTCCTTAATATGTGTGTCCACAACGCGCAAATGCCATAAATCGCAGCCTTTGCGTTGACCTTTCACCTGGCCAGGTCGCATGTGCTTGTGCCTCTGCGGGGGAATATCCTAGAACGTAATTCGTATAGTTGTGCATTTCGCTTTATTTTTTGTGGTTTTCTGTTTTAATTTTTTTTCTTTGATATTTTTTCATTGTAAAGTCTTGTGTTTCGACAATTTTTGTTTCTGCGGCTATTAAATTGGATTATTGTGGATAAAATACGCTGCATCGAAAATTTACGAACAGTTACCAAGTCTACTCTGCCGCACGGGCACTCATACGCATGTACATACAATACTCGTAAAAGTGATGAATATTGCCACGAAATAATATTTATTCTGCAAGCATACACAGCTATGTATTTATATATGCATTAGGGGTTCTGTTATTTCCAAGTTGAATTTTGTTTTGCAAAGGCTCTTGAAACTCCACTTTTTGTCCTAAAGTAATAATCCAACGTATTTTTAATTTAAACCGTGCCAAAAAGATTTTACCTTTCAAATATATTTTATATTGGATTTTTCTATCTTATGCAATAAGATAGTCATATTCTAGTACCAAATTTCCCGCTCTACAAAAAAGGTTTGCATAGATTTTTTTATAAATCAATTCCTTTAAAAGTTATACGTAATTAAAGGGCATCAAAAGTACTGTATTCATGCAGTACACCAGGTCGTATGAGCCACACATAATGTACATATCACTTGTATGAATGCTCTGGTCAGTTAACTGCGTATAACTTTTACAGGCATGTTTTTATGAAAAAAATCATTAAGAGTGTAGAGCGTTTGGCATTAGAATATCACTTATTGAAAGTTGGAGATTTGCTTGCTTAATGCCAAATATTAAAAAATCACATGTTATATTCAGAATAATAATATAAAGGAAATATGATTTATGGTAAATACGGTTTAAATTGAAAACAAATAGCTTGTTTACGTTGGATTATTTTTTCAGCACAAAAATTGAACAAAACAAAAACCATCTTGGAAATAACGGCCACCCTAATATATGTATATGCATATATAGCATACATATTTTGATTGTATAAGAGAGGAATATAGTGTGTTTATATGCATACAATTATAAAATACCCACGGCTTTTGAAGTAATTTATTCTCGTGTCCATATATTATGAGCCACTTATCCGCGTCCTCTTGATTCAGTCTGCTTCTCAGTCACACTTTAGCCACAATGCCGATGCTTCTTCAGCTCATATTCATTAAGAGCGTGTTCATTTGTTTGCATTTCCTTTTGTCGATCTTTCAAATGAAATGGCATCTTTCCCTTCATTTTTTTACTCACGTTGTTATTGTTGCCACATAAATGTTTAATTTATGACGGCGAATAAAGATATTTTATCATGATCCCACTCATTTGGTTTGGAATTTAATTAAAGTCAATATGGCCACAGCTTTTGAATACAAAATATATGGTTACAACTCTGCTATTCTTCAGGGTTGTACTCGGCTAAAAATAGTAATTGAGTGCATAACGCTTGCTTATAAAACACTAATAAAGTTGAGCTATTTTTCTATTCATAAAAAGCTCCTTTATAAGCTCTCATAACTTTCACATACAAGCTATGCCAACGCTTCGCACACATACTTAGACATATCGTTATGTATATGTACCTCTTTGAAAAATAAAAATTCGACCTTACGTTGATACTTGTAACTAAATTTTTTTATTTTAATATTCTAATTATTTTGGGTGTTGGCTTAAATTCAGTTATTATAATAGTGCAAAAGCCTTGCACAAATTTCAATACAAAATCAAACTCATTTCACCTTCGTTTCATTCGTTCCTTGTATTTTTTGTTTCTTCTTTCTTCACAGTGGATAACCACCAGGCTGGTAATACGACAAATGCCGACGGCAGCATCATCTCACCGCAAACTGATTCCAGTTACTTAGCATTAACGATAGTCGGTTCACTAGTCGGCTTCGGACTGGTGACAGGTGTGGTAAGTGCGAACAAGTAAATAAGCGCTGCTCTCAATTATGGAATTATGCTGGCTTAGCCAACAACAGCAAGGTAATATGCAAGATATGCTAAATTAACGCTCTCCCCTCCTCTCTGCTTCAGATACTTTGGGTCGTTTATCGTCATTGCAGCAGGCGGCCCACCTCAATGAACTTTGAAAATCCGGTTTACCGTAAAACCACCGAAGATCACTTTAGTTTGGAGAAGAATAATCTGCCGGCGCGCATGTATCCGAGCACAGTAGACGAAGAGGTAAGCGCGCCATGCATAAATAGTTTTAATTACATGAAATTTTAAATTGCAATTGCAAGTGCAATAGCTGCAACTAACTAGCAACAACTAATGCAGTGCTTAACTGCAAACACACAGACAAACAAAAATCTGAATTACTAACTTTACAATAATTGAGAATAAAACTAAATTAACAAACTAAGTTGAAAGTATTTTTAATGAATTAAGTAACTAGCATTAGTTTTAAAACTTAGTCGTTAATCAATAGCAAATACAGTTAAATGCATAATAACAAACCTAAATTATATACAAATACTTAGCGTTGTTTACGGTAAATTTAAGGTAATGAACTATGTATGAATACTTAGCAGTGGTCAAGCACAGCATGCCAATGAGCAAACTAAGATTTGATAAACTAGTTTAATGAAAAACTGCATTTTCCTAATGTAAATATCTGTTACACTATACATCAATCACATAATTCGTAAGTAAAAATTTTTATTAACAAACTTTTTGATTTCACACAATTTAATTCAAGCGAAATACTTAGATGAACTCCCGAAAATGTAGTGAATGAAATAGAAATCCAGCTATAATATGATTATATGTGTAAATAGTTGTATAAAAAAGCAATAGCGATTCCCCTTAAAACGAAAACCAATAACCAAGAGCTAATTGACACCTCATGGTTTTCTATCTATTTCTAGCTGCATTTTTCGCAGAGAAGACTGTTCGCGCAGTATTGAAAATTTTCCGCAAAATGAGCGTCAGAAATGCGTTCACGTGCAAAAGCATACTAAATGAAATGTGAAATGCATTCAAGAGTAAATGAGAGTTAGTAAAATTAAATCAAATTTACCTAAAAGTAATTTTAACCAAAATGTATTTTTTTTATTTTGTAATATTTTTTATTATAAAAAAAATTCAATGCCAGACATTGGTAATTTTTGATTATTATTGAAAGTTATACGCATTAGCAACTCAGATAAATAAGCTGTCTTCGGTTATACCACTTAAATTGATCTGCATACTCTCTTGTCTGAAGCTAACTCGATAACTTTGTTGTTACTTTTATATGCAAGTTTTCTGACAGAAGAGCAAAGCGCAAAGATAGCAAGCAGAGAAATGGTGAGTCGAAGACAGCTATACAAATACATATATGTATTAAAATATCTTTTTAGTTTGAGTTCATATTTTATTATTTGAATTCTTGAATTTCTTGTAACTTTTTTGTTAGATTTATTTTTTAATGTAATATTAATACATTATCTGCTCAATAAAGAAGTCCCAATAGTGCAATTTGATTACGCAGAAGCAACATAAATATTAAAAAATAAAAATGTATTTATCTATTTACAACTTTCTATAAGAAAAACGTTTATTTTAAATGAAATGAAATAAGATTCTAGTCAGATATTCATCAATTGTTTAACAAGAGTCGTAAACGGTTTTATTTTTTTACTTTTCAAAGATTGATAAGTAAAGAATATGAAAACTATTTCAGAACTATGCTTCGGACTTTAATCGATTCAGGCAATGCTGCAGTTTTTTCACTGACGATTTTTTAGTTGTTTCGTGAAATGTTCAGTAAGAGAAAATATAAAATATAATATGTCTATTTGGGACTGGGAGAAAGGTATGAACCTTCTACCTGGTATAAACCTATCTTCGCTGCAGGATAATATTTTTAGACAAAAACTATAATAAATAATGATAGATTAAAATCATTAATGGCATCACAAAGCACTTAAACTGCAAGTCATCTATTATGCCTACTTTGATTTTGAATTTGAGTTTTTTAAAAAGCTACAATATTACCCATTTCCATGTCACTCAGGTATTCTGCCTGTAATGCAGACGCTTGTGTCATTCCTTCAAAAAGAAACATTTGAAACGAAACAAAATTGAAATACAAATTTAGTTCACTTAACCATACGCTTACACAATTTTCATTTATTGAAATATTTCTTAGTTTGATTTCTCTATTATTTTCTCAACAAATTCAGTTGAATTAAATAAACCTTTTATAGTGCATAAAAAATCAGATGAATTGTGTATGTACAATACATATACATATACACACTTATAATGATGCAAAGAAAAATCTAAAAAAAAGACTAGCATAAGCTATTAACTAAATACTGGAAAAAGAAAAATATTATTATAATGTTTAAAAGATATTTAGAGGTAATATTAAATCTTGATGTAAGTATTTAGTTAATAAGTATCTAAGCATTTTAATTGAAAAGTAAAGTAAATAAAATAAAATTTAACTAAATTAATTAATATTAACATTTACTATACATACAAAAAAGTGGCATAAGTGCTGCAACACGTACCTACACGCATAATAAACAGCCACAACAACAAAACGTACCCACTAACAACAAACAAACACGCGCAAAAGAATAAAAAATCAACACATATAATCCAAGTAAACATTTGTAATACATACAAATTTAGAAATTCATCGTTCCCGACATTTACTTGCATTATTTAATACTAATACTAGTTGTTAGTACCAGTATTAGGTATAATATATGCTAGTTGTTAGACGATATCGCGGTTTTCACTTCAGAATTGTTTAAATAGCTTTATCTTAACTGTACTAAAAGTTTTTCAATTGCTGCAAACCCAAATACAGAAGTACAGAAGAAGGCAATACCAAACACTGAAAGATTATTTTCATCTTTCCTTCAAGTTCTACAATATTTTCTTTTGTTCTGCTTTTGAAGACGCTCATCCTCCCGAAATATTCTTGATGCATGACAATATCTAAAGACAAAATTAACATAATTTTCAAAGAAAAAAGGCATTTTTTGTCAAGTTTTGTTATTTCCACGCTAACACATACAAACTAGGCATTTTGGGCGTTGGCGCACTTAACATGCTGGTACAGGCACTCATAATTATGCGCAATAAAAGGTTTTATGTCGCTTAATAAATTAAACAAATGTTAACACAGAAAACCTACCATTCGTTCGCTTATCAACAACAACAACATTGACACAATATTTATTGAGAAATACATATCCTTAAAATATGCACGCGGTCACATGCAAATAAACATTTTAATACAAAAAAAATTTTAAAAAACAACGGTAGAAAATGCTGACATATAATGGATTGCTACGAACGGTCGTAATATGGGAGAGTAAACGAAAAAGTGCCAGTGAAATGAGCATGCAGCCATTTGTTGCAAGTACACATATTGATACAAAGCAACCCGCAAACATTATTTTTACATGAAAACAAATTACTTGCGTCCTGCATTACCACCACCACAACACACACACACCGACTTTTTCTATAGTATTACATCTTCTTTGTATGGTCTTACATGCGTGTGCAGCAAAATTATTACAAAATTTATCTCTGTCGCAAGGGAACTCGTGGTTTTCAAGTATATGCAATGAAAAATTATTAAGCACGTTTTCATAGAATATCAGAAGTATTTCAGTATGGTGTAACTTCTAAATATAATTTCTATAACATTTTGTCGTAGAGCTATCATATTATTTCATTCGAGTCATCTAATATCGGCATAGTGAATTATGACAGTAGTCTAAAAGTAATTAATCTGACAGAAGTATAAGTGAAAATTACTTTACACAATCACAAAGCGTCTTTTACATAAATATTATACTCTTTGCCATTAAATAAGTTTAAATGTCAATTGCTAACAAAATGATTTTAAATACCAAAACATTCATTACTAACTGCTGTTTTTGTTGAACTAATATTAAAATTAAATATGTTATTGCTTACTTCATTACTAAAACCTGTGCTTTTAATAATTTTGTATTAATATTTTGCCCCACAATTTAGTAAAAAAAATACAAGAAGCTTTACGTTTTTATGATATTCAAAATTAGTCATATCAATTTCGTTTTTCTGGTTCTACCCTTTTCCCGCACATATTTTAGATTAGAGATATCTCCCCATACTCGTACAAGCCATATTAAATACTTATTTTACATGGAAATAATCACTAAATATGTCACATGTACGCACAGGTATTAAACTTCATTGACATTAGCCAGGCAGATCGCTCATACGCCCGTACAACTTACTATTACACTAGTAGATTAGTCATACGCCCTGGATCACCATTTATATCCTTATTATCTCATAAATCTTTTCTTTCACACATTATCTTTCTACTTATCAAAACTCACATACGGCATGTCTCAATTTGTGTTTTCGCATCGGCGTACCAATACAACTGCATTGGCGTATATCTAATGTGCGAATTTTTTTACGAATTATTAAGAATTGGTCCTCGTATGCGCGTAAAACGCAGAATGAGATACCAATTCTATTACAACTAAAACATAACCCATAACACAACATCTTCAGCCAGTTCACGCTGTGGAAAAGCAGCATATATATTTAATTTCAATTATTTTTTTCGCACAACATTTAAATTCTTGTTGATTTATTTATGCACACATGAAACAGTGAACCGCGCTGCATAAAGCAAGTAAATGAAAACAGTAGCAACATCAACACAGATAACAAGACATACATATGTTCAACTTTTAAGAAATTATAACCTCAGCAACCTCACCAGCATTAGATCAACACACATGAAATTCATATAGTGCACTCGTAATACGCAATTTCTTGCATTTGAAAAATTGTCACTGCTCCACATTTGCCCTTTGTTGGTTTTCTTTTCGTGTTGCGTTTTTTCTTCTCTCTTTCTCTCCCCTGAAATTACCATGCTGCGAGCGGGCGCACTTGCAAGCCAGTCGCCAATGGGAGATAAAAAAGCTATTGCCAGAAGCCAGAAGAAATTGCATTTTCACATTGTTCTCATACATAACACGAAATGCATTTGCTTTTGGAAGTAAGAGGCATGGCAATGTTTTGTAGTTAACGGGGCGAACAAGCAGCTTTTCACTTAGCGGTAAGTACTTGAAAGCAATATTATACACAAATTAGTAACCTCGACCCATTTTCACCAAAAACAAAAACCGAGTTGTATGCGTAAAATTAAAGAAATTATTTACTTTTTTTTAATTTTTCTTATTGATTTCATTCTACAAAGTATTTCATCTACCACAAAACAATGATAGCATTAAATATAAAACTACTTCATTTCATAAATTTGACAGAAACCTCACCAAGTTTTTAATTCCCAAAATTTAGTTGATATAAACGCGGTTCATAGTGACAAAAAGTAATTTATTTTTATTTGCTTCATTTAATTACCCTTTTATATTTTCATTTATGTTGCACATAATTAATAGTGGTTGTATAAATTTTAATTAAATATATGAAATTGCCATAATTAAAATTGCTCGTTTATAATTCAAATTTACTGACTCAAACCATTGTACCTCTTGCTGTATGTAACCTAGTATATTAAGATGTTTTTTAAAAAATGCTGATTTTTCTACATAATACAAACATTTTTACATACAAACAGTATATCAGTAAAATAAATTATTTAATTAGTTAACATATTTGCATAGTTTAACTTGCATTTTACCTTTCCCAATGACACATTGTAAATATATACATACTAACGCACTCTCCCTTACTCGATCTCTTGCTGTACGTTGTTGTTATACTTGTTGTTTATTGGTTGAATATGTGTTTGTGTATGTGCGTGTTTAGCACTCATGCATTTATTTAAGTTATATACATATATGTAAGCATTTTACAACAACTAACTGTCTATGTATGCATCGTTTTATGTATTTTAAGTGTTTGAGCATTGAAAACTTGTATTGTTATTTTTATCAATGGAGTACAATGCAACGCTGTGGAATGTTTCAGCGTACCCCTATATTTGATGTGTATATTTCGGTTTTTCTTCATAATTAGATATAAAAAAATAACGTGTACTCATCATACATCACACATTGCGAACAAATAGGGAGATCGGAAATATTTACAAAGCGAAAAAATTCCAGCTGAAACCAGTAATTAAAAAATATAAAAAAAAAAACAACGCAATCAATAAAGAAACGAACAATTATGGCGCTCAGAACACAGAACACTGAGAAGCTGCAGGCATCTTAACCTAAAAATTCATAAATACTTTACTTCTGCTTTTGATAACTGCGCATTGTTGGTACATTATAATTCAACTGATGATCGGTTGTAGTTGACATATCAAACGATGTAATTGCAATACTTTTGTTGTTACTGTTTTGTGATATTTTTTGTTTTTCAAACCCGAGGTATTGTTTGCACTCGCATTCATTTCGCTTGTGTTTAACTTTGAGTGGCTTTCCTCACTATTTGCTCATATCAGGTGAATTTCCACGAGTTTTAATAAATATTGACATGCGACATAGGTGCATTTTAATCTCAACGGTAACTCTTTAATAACAGTTAAGTGCGTATAATAAGTAAACACGAAGCTGTAAAAAATTATCACTGCTTTCACAATTTTTATTCAAGGAAATTTATTCCATGAAAGTAAAAAAGTGAGACAAGAAACTCCAACTGATTCGAAATCAAATGGCTGCCACACCTATTTCGCTCCACCTTTCACTATAAGATGAATTTGAATTGAACGTAAATTGGCTGGTTTTGCTCTTCTTGTTGTTTTCATCATTTTTTCCACAAAATGTTTCATTTCCCAGTTATAGCATAGGCATTTATACTATTGTAATCACAATCTCTTAAGTCTTCACATAATAATTACCTTCCTGTTTTCCATTGTTAAAATATATGTAAGTTTACCACCATTTGCATTTATTGTTCTTCCAAGGAATTGCTGCTACATGCAAGGATTTAAAGTTCAACACACAGCACTTTGCTTAATAAGGAGTAGACACCAACAACATCACAAATAACACTATAACAACCATAATGCTTACGATAATCAATTATAAATTAATTAATACAAGTGGAGGCGCAAAACGCAAACTTTTACACAAAGCTGATGCTAAATTTAGATCAAATACACAAATATTGAACAGGTTATTGATTATAATGTTAATTGAGTCAATTAGCAGATCTTGCTGATACGGATTAGTGTAGGAATTAATGAAATTTATATTCGGTCGACAACGACTGTACAAGTGCTTAAATAACTTGAACAGAAAATGAAATTTAAAGAAAGAGCATATAATCAAAATTTGGAAAAGCAAATAATTATTACATACGTTAAAATATTTAAGAAACAGATTATGTGGAAATAAATTAAATGTTATTCAATGTTTTAAAATATTTAATATTATTTTTGCTTTAAAATATTTAATTTAAATATTAAATATTACTTCGCACGTGAACTGTTTTTACTATAATAAAAAAATTATATGTTTGCTAAAGATAATTTTTAGACATAACTTCACTTTTTTTTGGATGCAACAGTACTAAATGCGCCACTGTAGTGTCTAGAGTGTGAATAAAATATAAATATCTCAAAAAAATTTAAGTTTTCTTTAGAAAACATTCAAGCTATTGTGATTTCAATTGAATTACGAATTCATCTTTTTTATTTTTTCGTTATTTATTTTTATTTTTGGAGAAGCAAATTTTCTTGTATTTTGTTAATGAAATGCGAGGAATAACCCGCGAAGCCTTAAAACGAAATCTGCTGAATAAAAATCGTACAATCAATTTGTCTTCTGTAAGTTATACTGTCAGTTGTACAATAGTTATGTAATTTGCCTTTAGCCATATTTATAATCACTAATTGTGCTTAAATCGCCTCGATTTAATACCATAATGCATTTTAAAAAAGTTCACTAAACAACTGCTTTCTCTTCATTGTACTGCTGTGTAAGTAACACCTTGTGATTTCAACTGTCAAACTAAATCCACACGCAAGAAAATCGCTAATTGTCCGTTTGTGTCTATTTGCATAATTATGCAAATGTCAAATAATATTTGGACAGATATCGCTTGCGATTATCATTTCATGCTAATACCAGCTAGCTTTCATGTTTGAAAATTATGTCGCTCCTGCTCTCACACTAAGAGCTTAAATTATTTATGAAAGTATTTATGTTTTCAAATTTACGTCCGCTTGCAAAATAATTTAACTCCTTTTTTAGTTATTTGTCCAAACTTATATAACAAATTTCGTAAATATTATTTAATTTGACCGCTAGCTATACAAGAAAGCTGCCAAAATTTCAGTCAACAAAGAATCCAAATAAATACACGTATTATATACAACAACAAAAAACAATAACATCAACATGTAGTTGTGCGAGTGTATGTTTAAGTAATCAAATATTTGTTCATTCCTCTGAGCCAGCAATATCCAACCATATCGATAATCCCTTATTGTTGGTTGCACAGTGTAATATCTGTCTAAATGTCAGTACTCTCCCGTAGCTGTTAACTGAGATCGTTCATGGCATGGAATATCGATTATATTTATGAAACGTAAAGTATTATATTGTATAATATTAATATTAATAAACCAGCATTTACAATAAAACAATGATTGAGGCACAAATATATCGCCAATCAAAAAGATTTACTGTCAATCATTAATACATATGTATGTATTGTTTGCACTTTTAACCGCTTTTAATCGAATAATAAAAATTGAGTATTACTTTTCTAAAAACTGCATTGATTACATAACAGTCATCCATTTTTTATCAGAAATATTGCCAATGTTGCCTAGAGTCGATATTACGTCTCACGTAATAAAACATATCATAGGCTATTTGTGAACCAATCCATTCCAAAAATTAAGATTTCTAACCTCATTTTAATCTAACCTAACCCAACAAAAAATACCACTACCCAACCGCTTTTCACATACTTCACCATTTGAAAAAAGTCAATTGAATTTTATCAATGTACCATACTTTTACAACCAACAGCATCTCTCATTTCGCATAATAGACGGGCTCTTTATTTCGCTGAAGAATTTCACAAATTCACTGAGCTACTGCAAATCAATAGGGCAAATCTGGTATAATGTCGGCCACACTATGTTGTAGAAAATTTTTGCGGTTATGGTTCCGTGGCACTGGTTTAGCGACTACGAGTTGCACCTCTTGCAATTCGCTGCGGTTTGGCAACCACAAAAGCAGCATGTTGTCACATTTAATTTGAATGTGACTGAAGCTTGGTTTCTGTGGCAGTGACGCCACGGGCATTATACTGGTTGCCTCCGAAATCAATGAACTTGTATTAAACGGCAGATTAGCGTTGAATGTTATTTTCATCCATGAACATAAATTACACAATCACAACAGTGATTAAATTACTGCTTTCAAATTTTGGAAAAAGAAAAAAATGTGATTTTATAAAGAAAATAATTTAAAAGTTTATATGTATAAGTTGGGCATCAATTCAAAAGAGGAGATTTTTGTATATGTTTTTTTTTTGGTTTTGCATGCTAAATGGTTTTAGAATGGTGTATTTTGCCTCCATTAGTATGCACATTAGTTTCACTTAGGTAAATGTGATTGCATGTGTGTTTACTTGTAATAAGGATTAATGTTTTTTCAATATATTTTGCATGAATAGCAGCTTAATGTGCAACTCAACCAAATTACTCCTGTTTTCATACACACGTCATTTTGGCCTTTTTCAAGCTGACTGCATTTGCAACCAACTCAACGCCCAGCTTTGAATATTTATTCTCGATTATATAATATTTGCATCAGCTCGTAGTTAGATAAATGCACATAATCAAACCAAACTGAAATGTATTTAAATTAATCCATATAAAACTAAATGTTCAAATCATTTCGACCAAGTAGAAACCACAAACTGCCTGAAAATTGCTGCATTAATTTCCCATTTGTTTATTTTCTAAAACACATTTAATAATACTTTTTTTATAAGTATTTCCAAATTTGTAAGCCAACAAATTTATTTACACAAGTAAACGATGACAGCGAAAATTAGTGAAACCGACCACAAAGTCAAACAAACAGCCAACACCTTTAAATTATTTTATAAAGACAACTACCTACAATGCTAAAACGATATCATTGATATTTAGCCTTAAATTTTTCTCTTGAAGTGTTTCTTTTTAATTTCATCTTTACTAATCTCCTACCTGTAAATAGTGTAAATATAGGCAGATAAACTCATCAAATTAATATCTCGTTGATAAGGCTTTGACTTTCAAATTCTCAACTATTTACTTCGGCATAAAACTTATACTAATTAGTACAAAATTGAAAACAAAAATTTTAAATAACATAAAAGAATTATACCAGTACCAGTAAATATTCATCACTGATTCTCCTATTTTTTCTTTTTTGAGCTTAAGATCAAGATATGAACTGTTATAAATATTTGCATGACTGTTCACTTAATGCGCTGTGGCATTCCAATGCAATTTTGATAAATATTATATTATTTACATATACGAATTGTGTTCAAAAATGAAGAGAATATTAAAATTTAAATTTCGCAGCTTTAGAGAGTCCAATTTACAAGCCTAGATGTTTAAATTAAAACGCATCGCTGAAAGGGCTAAATACTATCACAAAAATCGGGTTTGATAAGTTTTTAGACGATTAGAAGAAGCGCTGGCATAAGTGCATAATATCGAATGGGGATTTTGAAGGCGACAACATTAATATAGACAAATATATTTTTCAAAAAACTAATATTTTTTAAACACACCTCGTATATGTAGGTAGAAGTACGTTCAGATGCTTAGCATTTTCTTATTAAATGTTGCTATATTTTGTTTAAGAATTATCGTATATTTATATGTGTTTCCGTAATTTCCCAAGTAGTTTTTTTATCTTTTGCAAACACTCCGTGAAGTAGCAACTTTATCCCTAAAAAAAGGATCCAACGTAAACATGCTCTTTATTTTCAAAATTTAACCCGTGTTTATTTATTTTTTTATATTTAGTATTCACTAGTATAAGTTCTTTAAATGATTCTTTGATAAATTGCTTAGAATTTAAGTTGTTGTTAGTTGTGCAATTCAATATTAATTTATTTAGAATAAAGTCTTGTTTACCCAAAATAATTTATTTAAATAACATAATTTTATATTTGTAATATAATTTTATAATTATTGCTTCATATTTATAAAACTATTCAAAAGCTTCAATCTGAAATTATGTTTGCTAAAATTTTAACAGCATAAATACTTGCTTTTATATATACCAAGTTCGATATTTAACTACAATACGGTGAACTAAAAACTAATTTTTACTTTTCTCCTTTTCGCCATTTTCTCTAATTGCAGTCCAAAGAACCGTTGAACGCCGAAGCTGGCACGGAGTGTGTGTGAAGTGCTTATGCTATTAGCTGATTACTGTCATTACGCTCATAATTATGAAATTCTTTTTATTATTTTTGTTTTCGTTTTGCTTATTACAAAATCATGCCTAACTCAACACCACATATCCCTCATCCAAACACACCAACAAACATCGCACACCATCTCAGTCTGAAGCTACATAGATGGACGACACGCCCATATCATATACTCGTTTTACAAAAAATTTAAAAAAATTGGTGAAAAATGTGAAAAGGCGAACAAATAATAAAAGACAGATCACTTTCAATAAACCGTGGATAATACCGGAGGAGAATACTGAGTGTATCGTCATGTTAGCAAATGTATTGTATTATCAGAAATGAAAACTAGTAAAAAGCTTAAAGTACAGTTTCTATGATGCAAATAAAATAAAGAAGACAATTTAAGCAATTTACTAATAAAAATCAATATAATTAAACAGGTTTGATGCAATTCTTTGAAACATATAGCAAAACTGGAAGGAGTACAGTCATACAAAATGATATTTTCCCTCTGTTGGCGTAACAACAATGATAAATAAAACAGAAAACTAAACGAAACAACATAAAATATAATAAAATGGAATACCACAATGCTGTTTTCGTTAGGGAAACTAGTTCTGTAATTGGGAATGTTAAACACTCCAAATACAAACAAATATACCGACTGCCTCGAAAGACATTTTTCAAACTGAATCCAGATTGACACACTTAAACTTACACTTCCTCAATAAGAACTACCACAACACACCCGCAAATGGCCAGCATAACACAGACACATTCGAACGCGCAACCAGGAAACGCACAAGAAAATGAGCGAGTTTTGAAGTCAATTAACTGTGCAACAAAAACTATACACACACATACACAAACCCACGCAAACGCACTCACTATCAACCTAAAGTAGAAAATAATTAAATTTGGTCGAATTCAGCCCGGACTCTTGAAAAGGCTACACTCTCGCTGCTGACACACACACTCTTTACTCCACACATACTTTATGGTACGCCAATGCCTTGTAGCACGTACACACACTTACACACAAGCACGCACATGTAAATACCTACACAAATGTATGTTTTTAATTTGTTTAGAATTGTTGAGTCTTTAATTGAATTATTTGAAATTTCGAAAAAATAACACTTCTGTAACTTTTAAGCGCTTGGAAAGCCAAAAAAATGTATAAATTTAAAACCTATTTATTCTTAGTACAATGCAAGAAAAAATCAATTTTAATTAAAACTAATAGATAAATGAAATCAAAAATTGGAAACTGTCACTGAAAAATATTTGTACAATATATTTGTATGAAAGGAGAAATATTTTAAAATACAAAAACTTGGTCATGTATTCGTATAAAATATACGCACACACGCACCTACACTTGCGTACAAAACACCACTAACCCAGCCACAGACACGACAATAGCCATAAAAACAGTTATAAATTACCGAAAACACAATTGGAAAAACACAAAAAAAATTAACTCAATTTAAAAATAAAATAAGTAAATTGTAATGTGAGAAATAAATAATTAAATAAATAAAAGGAATGTAAAATGTTGAAATTGCAACTTGCACGTATTTTTAATTGGTAGCAATTATTTTACACTTAGATAATTTACGATTTTGGCGGAGGTCGCTAAAGTCACTGCAGTTTATAAAATAAATTTCAAATTCAACCTGTAGGAAAAGCCACCCAAAATAATAGCATTAGGCTCCCCTTCTCTACTACCCCTTAAAGGGAGGATTAAGAAACTGCCCGTTGACATAGACTTGCTAAAAAATTCATTTTTTTCTGTCAATATCAGCTGATTTAAAAATAAACAAACAATGAATAACTGTATGAAAGAAGGAAATGGCTTACCGATAAAGAAGAATTATTGTTGAGGAAAATATATATCAAATATTTCCTATTTAAACACAATTTATAGAAATATGGCGCTAACTAACCTGTGGTTTAACTATCGATTAAATTTACAATAGGTTTACAAAATAAGATAAATATAAAAATATTTAAAGAGCCCTTAACGTGACAGCCTTAAATATTTTGGCATACTTGTCGCAATAAAGGTTTCGAACACACATTTACTCTATTTTACGATCGATAGATAATTTCTTAACCTTCCTGAAATCACCTTTTTGAACTAGTTACCTATTCCATAATAGAAAGCACCAGCGGTCGTCACCAAGATAGATCGACTAAATATTAAAATGGATATGCAGGAATATAGTGTAATGAACTGTTAAACTTCAAAACTTAAAACGTAATATATTCCAAAACGAATTTTGGCCCTTAAAACGTTTAGAATACGAGTAAGTAATCATAATCTTGGTTTTGTAAAAGATTTTTATTAACAATATAAAACATTGAAAGAACTATTATGGAAAAGAAAAAATTGTTAGTGTTATGAAAGCTACTTACAGCTTCCGACGTTTGTTATCGAAATATACAATATTATTTAATTGTTTGTGTAATTTGATTTTTTTTAAGGACATAAAACTCTCTTAGCTACTACCATGTACAATCAGAGCCACAAAACCAAACTAAAGAATGTCAAATATTGACATATTATACTGCTCTATAAACATAAAATACCAGAACAAAAGAAATTTACTCACACCCATTCAACCCCACATTAAGGGAAGGGTTTAAGTGGTTATTGTGTTAGCGTTGCAACTACCGGCCAACACCAAGTTGTTGAGGCAAGAGTCAAGCTCACCAGAAGCGGCAACACAGAAAAGAATCTATAACACTTACATAAGCTACTCACGAACCTTCAACCAGAGATTATCGCAACTACTAAATAACGGATATGAAGGATAATAAGGAAATCAATATTTAATAGGCAAAAATAACGCAAATTTATTTAACCGCAAACAGCCAACGAAGTTTGCGATGAAAATATAATAGAACACCAAAAACAATGAAAAATTATAAGGATAAAAGTAAGAAGAATGAGTAAAAGAAGAAAAAGACCAACATGTTAAACTGTATTGCACGGCAACAGTAAAAACGACAAGCGACGGCTAAGAAGGAGACGTCGCACAATTGAGCTGACGCCTACATTTATTGGAAAAATTAACTTTTACTTTTAAAGCATATCTGCTATATTAAATTAACCACTTAAGAAGAAAATACGTTAACTTCCGTTTTACCGAAGCTATAATACCCTTCACAAATACAAAAGATTCCTTACAAGAAGTTGATTTAAATCGGCCAGTTTGTATGGCAGCTATATGCTATAGTGATCCGATCTGAACTATTTCTTCGGATATTGCATCATTACCTTAGACAATAATTTATGCCAGATATCTCGTCAAATGAAAAAGTTTTCCATACAAGCACTTGATTCCGATCGTTCAGTTTGTATGGCAGATATATACTATAGTGATCCGATATCAACGGTACACATGTGCAGCTCCTTGGAGAGAAGAAGACGTGTGCAAATTTTCAGATTTATATCCCAAAAACTGAGGAACTAGTTCGCGTATATACAAACAGACGGTCATGACTAAATCGACTCAGCGCCTCATGCTGATCATTTAGATATATATTTTCTAGTGTCTTCAATACCAAAAATATTGTTTAGACGCCACTTTTTTGCCATTATTTATACGCCGTTTCATCCTCAAAAAGTCACTGTTGATGTGCTCTATGGGCAGAGGAAATTATTGGTCTTCAAAAATAAAGCCTTTTTCTTTCCTTTCAATAATGACTTTTTCGTACCTGAATATTCGGCACATTAATACTGACATATGACGCCAATTGTTGCAAAATGTGGTCAAAAGTTGGGCCTCTCGGCGAGAACTTATGCAAGCCAACCGCGGCGGTCACTTGCCCGAAATAATTTTTAAAACATAATGGCATAAACCCTTATCTTTATAATAAAGCCATTCATTTATATGCATTTTATTTCTTCTTGAAAACCACATGGAAAAGAAACACCCGTTATATCAGTGCCTGTGCAGAACCTATTACTCACGTAGGCACATAACACAAACCAAGTGACACTCTGCTCTACGAATATGTAGGTAGATATGTACATATATAAATACAAATTATATAATTTTTTGTTAAGAAAGAAAATACAACTTTGTTCACTCACTTTTTCATTACTTCCACGTCATCAACGCTCTAGAGCTTTTGCAGATTTATATGGGAAATTATTAGTAATCAAGGACAATGTCTCTTTTCTTTTCATCTTTGTCTGCTGCAACAATTTCAGCTTTCATGTAACCAACGTCTACAGTGACCCAAGAGATGTCAGCTGAGCTGTGCTGTTGCTGTGATAGCAAAGTCACAACCTGGTCCAGGCACTTTATTTCTGCTTCTTCCTCTTCCATTGTTGAAACTTAGTCCCCAAATGAATTGGTCTAGTTTATTGAGCAGCACAGTATAATTCACACGAGCAATGACCGAGCTCGATACGGTGGAAAGTGAAAAAACTGATTAGTGGCCAATTTTTTTAAATTAGTAGCAATCTGTTGGAAGTTGCTGAGCAAAGAAGACGAGCATTAGGAGCACAGCGCACATTTATAGCGCGATAGTATAAATGTGTAGATAAGTGAAATTTATCAATCAGCGACACATATGGTATAGTGGATTAGGTTTAATTAGACATGGAAAATGTCACATATGGCATTTATTTCTCTTTATTATGTAATATATGAATATTCTCACACTTTAATTCGTTCATTAGAAAGGATTCTCGCTACAACTTATATCGACTTAATTAATTATGTAGATTGTCCAATTAGTCGGGCGACTTTTAATTGAGCGAACCAGAATGACACTTAAACCGTTATCACATAATTATTTGAAACAAGTGAGAAATGTTGGTTAGAAAACTTTTTCAATATTAATAAGTTTATGGTTGCTTCCAAATTTTTAATGAGTAATTGCCTTTAGGAGTTTTTGAATGATTTCATAAATGCAAAATATTCACACAACAATTAAAAGAATGAAAGATACAATTAGTTATTATTACAACAGAGTTGCATCAAGTTGCTGACTCTTCGAATCTCTGCGACTGTTGCCTTTTCCTATATCTTAATATTTCACATTTTAAATATAAATATGGCTAGCTGAATATACCACCAAAAATTCTAGGACGACATATATCACCCAATTATGACCTGTAAGTGCATTGCTTTGGACGCCGAAAAGCATGCCAACTAATTAACGAAGAGAACACGAATGTACATATGGTTGGCTGAATATTTTCAAACACCAGACGCAAGATGAAGTCATTGTCAGCATGAACTCATTAGTTTTGTTCCGACTTACCGCAAGCACACATACACACATTCATGCCTATACATGCACTTTCAATGGGCAAGTGTTTAATTACAACGTCACTGTTCGCCACGGTTAACGGTTTAATTACACCTAAATAATACCAAATGACTGTTTAATACTCCTCCAGGAAGCGCGGTCTTGTTCGCCCACCAGCTATGTATGAGCATGTGTAAGTATATGTGTCTGCCAGGGGCAAAAGTGCTAAGAGTTTCGCCCACACGGTGTCTGTTAAAATCATAGCCAAAGAAATTGCCGCTTATGTTAGTTCGCCACTTTGGTGTTTTGATGTGCACCGGTAGTTGGTTTCTAATGGCCGCGAAATTTGTTACCGTCGGCACGCTCAATTGGCGACTGGCGTGTTCGGATTGAGGGAGCAGTATGCCGAAAACCATTAAAGAGGGTAATAAAAATGAATTCAAGCCTTAAATCCTTTTAATAACCCCTTTGTGGCTAAAGGTTGAACTTTCAATAGTTTGGCACTAAAAGTTCCAGTTTAGCTAATCCATAGTTCAAGAATTCAGCGCACTCCAAGCGATTGCAAACGAATTGAGGGGGCCAAATTGATTTAGCTGTTTTGAGCGTGAGAGCAAAATTAATTACATTGCAAGAACAGTGTTATATTAGCTTTCAATCAACAAGTTTTATTAATTTTGCAGGTATTTCCTTCTATTATGAAGTACTCCAGAGTGTCTTAAAATTAAGAAGATAGAGAATGTTTTAGAAAATTCTTATAGTGTTCGAGCTGCTAAGGATGGATCCCCATATTTATAAACTCAAATCTTTTAAGTACTCCACTCAGCTGAGCAGACCCACTAACCAAGGGTATAAGCAACAAAAGCAAATTTATGATGTCATGGCAATAAATATTGTTTTTATAACATCGACCGCACATGTCGCACACAAACAAATAAATTCAACAATAACAAAATAGCTTAGCGAAGTAAACAGAAAGAGAACGAGCAGTGCATATAAATTCGAATGGCCATCACAGAAAGATCGTCAAAAATGGGCCACCAGGGAGCAGAAGCAATAGCAGCAGCAGCCGCAATAGCATTATGTATTATATTGAATGGTTCAAACTCGTTTCAACTAACCGCACTAAGAGTATTTTGAGTGTTTTGTAGTGCCCAATTTCGCACAAAACTATTACAGTTATTGTATAAAACTGAAGTGTGCGCAGT